GGAGCAGCTACAGAAGTCACGCTTGACACCCAGCCAAACGGTATCAGGGTGAGGAGCTGACACATGGCTGCTAGTACTGCTCTGCCCTCTGGGAGCCTCCCGGAAGAACCTCCCCACCCCACTCCACTCAGGGTCAGGTGCACAGGAGGCCCAACACCACCTTCATCGAGGATGATGTCCTCCACCCCCCCAGTCAACCAGCCAGCCATCACTTAAAGCTCCGCCCCACAGCCACCAGTACTCCAGGTTAACAGCCATCACATACCACCCGTAGCAGCTAAATGTTCCTCCACAATGAGCCAGGGTAGCAGGTATGAAAAAGCCTGCTGAGGGAGACCTGCACATTCCACACATAATTAGATGCACGCGGAGTTACCGCCGTGCTTCACCTAAAAGATGTGCGCTGCTCCCATGGTAACGACAAATTCATCAGCATTTCATCCTTATTTTTTCTTCCTCACAGCCAGTCACATTAGAGTATGCAACAAAGCAATATCAAACCATATTATCTTTTTAAAAACGTTCTTAAGATGAGAAATGTAACAACTACCTATTAACTGTCCAATTATTTTCCACATTACAATTGTCTAAGTGCCTTTAAAGTATTGACTGTATTTATGAGTCAGGACTTTGCCTGTGGAAAAACATATGCAGAAAAATTAAAACAAAATGAAACACCCCACACGGGTTACCATTTCTGGTAGTACATTACGTAAGATGGTTGAGGGCAGTAAGATAATATGTACTGCCTAAAAACAGTTTTGATGCAATTATAATATAAAAATATTCAAGACTGCAGTAACGAAGGCAGATCAGATATCAGAGCTCTTGCCATTCTGCTGTCAGCTTTACTGTATGAAATAAATAAATCCTAATGTCAAAGCAGCAAAGAGAAAGAATTTTCCCAGAATGCAGGAACAAAGGAAGCTGCTGCCTAGAAAATGATTCTGTTTCATAAGATCTGCGCAAACTTTCATGCCCAGACCAGACCCCAGCACCACTGACATTTTTAACACGTTAGCCAATTAGGGACAGAAAGACAAGAGCAAACAATAGGATGTGGAACACAAACACAAGCAAAAAAAAATAGTTCATTAATCTAAACTTCAATCACATCATTGCGCCATTATATTCAAATTGAAAGCAAAAAAAGGTACTGGGTGCATAAAAAGAAGCTCATTGGTGAATATTTGATGCTTGAAAACTGATTATCACAACAAAATTATATTAAAAAAATACAGTAGGGTAGGGCTGAACGATTTGGGGAAAATATCTAATCGCGATTTTTCTGACAGACATTGCGATTACGATTTGATTTGCGATATATTTTTTTATGTGAAGCTTCAGTTGAATATTCAGTGTGTAGTAAATTTAAAACATATGATGCAGCATTACCACATGAGATACCATCAAAATATTAACTGGTCTATATTATAATGCAAGGATGAGAATTTAAAGATGTGGTGTGTTAAGTTAAATAATGTAATAATGAACAAATGCAGCAAAAAGAAAAACAATAGCGATCTTGCAGGTAACGCTGATTACCCCCTTAATAACACTAGAACCGCCTTTCCCACGCCAGTGAACAAGCAAGAACTACTTCGGTGTATGCAGCCGTTTTATTTGCGCTATTGTGTTATTAGTGTTAATAACAGCAGCGAATCTAACACTCAAAAAGCTGCAATGTTCATAACAGAGTGGCTGTTCTGTCCTGAAACTGTAAAGCTGGAAAATTTTCAAACGTAGTATGCATTTTATAAAATGTGGAATAAATAGACGTAGTTTATTGGTGGTCATGTTGGTCTACGTTTCCGCTTTTTAACAACTGTATAAGGTTATTTTTTATACAAATCAATTCAGTGGAAACAAAAAATGTATGTGTTCAGGGTTGAGAACTCTCACGGGTTTGGGTAACACGCTTTCAGACTCTCACGCAAGAAATCTTATGGCAAATCTAAATTATTCCATTATGAACTTAGATTTAGCTACATCAAAAACGTTAGGGCAGTTTGCAAACCCTACAGACTATTTACATGGTAATAAAACTCTTACATACACGTAAATGGATGTGCAGACTCGTCTCAAACATAAAGCCTCACTCCAGGCAGCTGACCAAAGATTCGACTGAAGCGGCTTATCATTCCTTTGCCTTGTTGCTCTGACAAAAATAAAACGAAGGAGAAAACATTAAATGCGTCACTTTTTTATATCTTTATTAAATAAGACCGTGCCCATACCCAACTGTAATAACGATTAAAGTGATCTGTTCTTTTAGTATTTGTGTTAAAGCGAGGCTTTTATTTTATTACTGTTGTGGTATTAAGATTAATTTCACAAGATTAATATATGGAAATCAATAATTAAATCAATGAGCACAAAAACATATGACATAAACACGACTGTATTATGGATTTTACGGCATTTCTGGGGGTCACAGACTCAGCTGTTGTGAGGATTACCAACCTTTTTTCTTTGTTTTGATGGGTTATATGCTAATGTGATTTCCTATTAACAAAAACAAAAGGTGTTATACGCTCGCAGCTGGTGTTTAAAAGGAAGTCGCCGGTTCTATTGATGATAGGACTTTTCTGAAACAATCTCGGACCATGAAATAGGAAGGCAATTCACTTATAGCTCAGTAGCAGAGTCAGTATTTTTTTCCACACCGCGAATGTAACATTTTCTTCGGGTTTCACGTGTTTGTTGTTTGTGGGCGTGTACTCCGTCGCCTCGGGCCACTTCTGATTAGTGAGCATGACTGTCACATAAGGAGCATGGCGCTTGTGATTGGTGAGAACGACTGTCAAATAGGGAGCACGGTATGAGTTTGGAAAACTATTCTTACAACAGTTTTAAACCCTGGGTCCGACGTGCTGTATAATGTATGTCCTAAATTGCAGCCTTTGCGATTTGCTAATCGCGTTGTTTCAAATCGCGATTTCGATTTGAAATCGATAAATCGTTCAGCCGTACAGTAGGGTTTCTGGGTAGGACTATGTCACAGTAAGCAGAGGGGGATGGAGAAATACGTCTGGCAAGAGACAGCCTGCAGCCAGCCACATTGACGAAGCATTTATAAAAATAACGCCATTATCATGGGGGTGGGGGGTCCCCTACAGTGTCTGTATAGGGTGGGGGGTTCAGGATTTCAGTGAAACTGACCAAATAAAAAAATAAACCTGACACATCTATACATTTTCCTGGGATTCCAGCCTCTATGAAGAAGAGGCCTCGCCGAGAGAGAGAGAAAAGAGGACCACAGGCAGCAGGGGCAGCTCCACAGCCAATGTCGGCCATCACCTGCTCAACCAGCACCACCAGGCCCCAACTATACACTCAGACCCACCAAGGCTATTCACTTAGCGTTTAAATTCACCATTAATGTCATTAATGTTCAGACCAGGTAACCCACCTGAAGCTAAGCAGATTTGGGCCTGGCTAGTACTTGGATGGGAGACCAACTAGGAAAGCTGGGTTGCTGCTGGAAGAGGTGCTGGTGTGGCTAACAGGTTAGTCTGTCCTGTGGTCAGTGTGGGTCCCAAAGCTCCAGTGCAGTAATGGGGACACTGTGGCCAACAGGTTTGCTCATCCTGTGGTCTGTGTGGGTCCCAATGTCCCAGTGCAGTGATGGGGACACTGTGCTGTAAAAATGGTGCCGTCCTTCGGATGAGATGTAAAGACAGGGGTCCTGACTCCTGAGGTAATATAAGATCCCTGGGCATCCTTTGAAAGAGTACAGGTCGTACCCCGATGTACTGGCTAAAATTGCCCACTGAGGCCCCCTAAAATCTGGCCTCCTAATCATCCCCTGTATCTAAATGTTGTAGACTGGCTGCTGTCGCATCATCCAGGTGGGTGATACACAGTGGTGGTTCTGTAAAGTGCTTTGGGTGTTTAACAAAGCGTTATATAAATGTAACTTTCATTCAATTATACATTCATTATCATCTCTCCCTGAGAAGAGCCTTTTAAACTCCCAAAGCCTGCATTCCTTTCCTTAATGCAACACAGAAGGTCCTCAACTGTGAACAAGGCTTAAAATACAATATGATCGACTGGCTGATATTTTAATAGTTAACCATGGAATAAGGAAATGACCGGGACAGCACTCTGAAAAGCAAATAAAAAATCAACTCCGAGACCATGGTCTTCTCAAATATGCGCAGTCCCCTGACATTGTGAAATGCAGCAGGGCAAAGTAAATGTATCACAGAGAACAAGTCACACAGACTCCCAGCATGTCTTCCTGTAGCAGTCTGATAATAGCTCACTGCCATCATGGGAACCATTGTTATACATTCAGCAAAATCACGACCACAATTTGCCTAAAAGACTCCCGATAACAGAGACCATTCCAAGCCTGCAACTTCCACGTCTGCAGTAATGACTACCAGAATCAAGACTGCCATACATCTGGACAGGTGTTAGGACCATGACTAAAAAACACCAACTGGCTAAATCAAGATAAATACACAATGCAGTGTGTCGCACTTTCAGCAAATCAAGTTCAGGCATAAGGAGAACTAGTTATGATTCATTATGACCCAAATTGTGGTTTTAAAAAATCATAACTCAAACAACTGAAATATACACAGACAGAGCATGTTGATGTCCAAAAAATGATGCTTGGAAGACAAATTAGTATGTTAGTACAGTACATGACTAACTGATGGTACCAAGCTGCAGGTGACTCACCGAGAGAAACGGGACTCCGTAACTACATGGTGTGAGCTGCCGCGATAAACATGACAAACACATATTAACCATACAAAGGTGTTGGGTTACGAACAGGAAAAGCATGAAATGAGAAAGCAGCAATGATTTTGAAGCTTAAGTCTTTTAAAAATTGAACAAACAAAACTACATCATAAACAAGTAACCATACTCAGGACAATAACTAAAGGAAACGTAAGTGCCCTCTTATATAATACAGATTTGTAGGTGAGGAGAAAGAAAACAGAACAATTAAACAGAATTAAACAGAGAGAAGCTCTGCTTACCCAGCTGAAAGCCTGCTGACAGTCCACAGGAAGACTTAGTGGTGAGCAAACAGGGTAAGGGCCCACATGCCTCTGTACTTTGCCGGTAACCCAAAAAGGCAGCTTTACTCTCCTGTCGAGCATAAACCTGCAATCAGACAGTAAATAGAAGGGCATTGCTGAAAAGGATCCCACATGCAAATCGGTTCCCCCGGCCTGCCTGAGGATCTGAGTCTTCTTTGAGAAGACAACACGTGGATTTTGCCCCTGTTACCACTAAGAAGTCAGCCTGCTTATCAACAATGCCGAGTTTGAAACTATGACATTATATCTTCATAAAAACCACAATGAAATAAAGGGGGAGCAAACTTAGACATCCAATGTCATGTTTCACTTCCAAACTCCGCTCTAAATCTGCAGTGATGCATACGATGCATAAATTGTCCAGGGTCATTGAAAACCAGCTGAAGTAACTGCACTGTTTCATGTTTCTGGTGATGCAGTCCTTTTGTTGTGAGAAAGAAAAGACTAATCTTTTTCCATGATATTTAGAATCTGAATTTCTGAATAATTTGTGTAATTGTTATTTATCCATAAAGACCCCTAGATTGCTATGGCAGTTGGAGAAATTTCTAGGACATTGTTAAATGCACCCAGAGGCTGCTATCAAAATATTTAAGTGATAGATACAGCAAATATATTATGCCATTTACAACATGGACTTTAAATGGGAAATAGTCATAATGTTTTAGATGGTGGATGATGAATGTACCACTGCCACCTCTAAAAAATTATAAAATGGTTGCATAGTTCACCCAGCTAGACTACAAGCAAAGTTATAACTTGCAATCTGCTAAGCAGCAAACCTAAAACTAGAATTATGAAAGTGAAGTTTCTGTGGCCAAAACCAATTGAGAAAGACAACTGAACGAAATTTAATAAAACATTTATTGCCTCCCTGCCTGTATTTTACTGCTAGGCTGCTGTTTAAATCCTTTAAAATAGTATAATAGACAGATAACCGCCAAATCCAAAAGATTCTCTCTATATCCTGGTTTGGGTAATTACCATAAAACATTCATGTTGTCTAAATTACAGGTTCATACGGTAGCTGCATTCCACGCTGAACCTGTTATTCACACAGATCTCCAGACGATCTGGCTAAAGCAAAGATGCAGTTTCAACGCGGCCAGCTTTATTAAGTACGGATACGATAAGAGTCGCACGTTATTTTTGTTACTGATGTTTCAGTGCTTCTGACTTGGGGTTTTTTAAACGCTGCACTTTTTAATATAGTTTTGATGGCATTCCTGGTAAAATACAGCTTCGGGAATCGGGTACTATACCAGTAAGAATTAATAATTTTTGGTGTGGATAGCCCTGGCAGAAAGAGAGACGCCACGACGCTCATGAGTCACACAGGACAGCATCTGCTGTCACACAGACCGGGTGGACATGCCCAGGACGCGGACAGGCTGTGTTTACTAGACCCAAAACGCCACCTTTATAAGGACTTCCGCAATAAATAAATAAATAGATACATACTACTGTGATTGTCTGAAAGCAAAAATATACAAACGCCAGGAGATCCATAATGCTTTAAAAGTTCGGACAGCCCTTTGCTTGCCTAAAACGTCCTTATCCGGCCATAGTCCAAAAGAAAACTTAGGCAGGTCCAAAGAAACAGATTTCTCGTAGCTCCACATTAAATACTTTTTTTCGTAATTAAAAACGATACAGGAAAGCAGATTTGATAAAAAAGAAAAAGAAAAAGAAGAAGAAGCCTCGCATTTCCCCCCGTTTGTAACAGTGAGCTCCCGAGTTGCGCCTCACTGCCGTAGGCAGGTACTCACCCCGGTGACACGGGTACCGGGAGACGGAGCCACGCCAGCATTAATGTCACGGCAACTGTGTTTGTGCAAACGACCGGCAGTCGCCTGAATTATTTACTCGCAAGCAGGAGGAAACAGCATCGCGCTCAGCTGAAGCGGTTACCTGTGGCATGGGTAACGGTTTGCCTGACCGTCCTGCCGCTTTTGTATTAAGGGCAAGCCGACCTGTTTCAGGCGACGCCTGGAGCCACGGCTCAGCGGCTGCACCTAAATCGCACCGGACAAACGGCCACCAAAGCCTGGCACCGACGGAGCAGCTTTATAAGCGAGTCAAAAACAACAATATTTAAACGCTCAGCTGGCAGTTAATAACACTCCATAATACTCATCTTATCTGCCACACTGATCAGAATAACCTATAAATGTATCTATTAAAATATCTAAATCACTATAATGGTTTTAGTAATTTAACTGACATTTACATATACGTGTTCTGAGGAAGCTATAATGCAGTAGAGTATCCCCTATCAATTTATGAATCAGTCGTCGATACAACGTGTAAAATCATGTACACTACCACCATGACAATGATAATTACACATCTTATGCGAAACCGTTCTTAACCCCTTCCATAATATTAACAGTACTGTTCGGACATATATTCCTGGATAAGTGGCACGGTTGTGGACAACGAGTTCCAGATCGCTAACTAGCAAGAACTAGTAATAACGTTAGTCATTTCATTCTCTTATAGAAAGGAGGAAATGGTGATATAAATTATTTTCCGTTAACTAAAAAGCTTACTTTTGCTGTGACGTTGGTCTATTTCCCCTGTGTAGTGTGACCTTATCGCCTCTTCCCACTTCGAGGGTGATAAATTACGTACAAGCTTAATCTTTATTATTATTATTATTATTTTTAAATCTTGGTGCTTTCTCCTTTTTTCTTGCTCTCTTCGTTCGTCGCTCTGAATGGCTCGCGCAGTCCCGGAAGTGCCGTTCCGGCACCACCCGCCTAGAAAGATGACTACTTCCGGGTGAATGAATGCAGCCAGTTACAACCTACGGGCATGTTCATGTAGGCTTGTGTGTGTGTGTGTGTGTGTGTGTGTGTGTGTGTGTGTATATATATATATATATATATATACATATATATACATATATATATATCCTACATAAAAAAATCATTGTTGTTAATAATTTTACACTTCACAAGATAAGATGTATATATAACGTCTACCTAGGTTCGAATCTCTGCCTGGATTCCATCTGCGTGGAGTTTGCATGTTCTCCCCTTGTTGTTGTGGGGTTTCCTCCAGGTACTCCGTTTTCCCTGCCCCATCCCAGGTTGTTCCCTGCCTTTCACCCGTAGTCTTCGGGATAGGCTCCGGACCCCCCACAACCCTGAATAGGACAAGTGTTTTCAGAAAATGTATTCATGGATGGTATAATGTGTACTGTATTGATTAATGAAAGGATGACTACAGCAGGGGGGTGCCACTAGAGATTTTGGGCCCCCAATGCAGACCAATCTAGTTATCTTCCAAATTTCGGAACTGTCCTAACTTTCTCCCTTTACAGCGCCCCTAAGACATAATAAAGACAATATACTGAAACTTGTGGTTTAAGCTAACTTACCCAGGGTATTTAATATGAATTTATTATTAATTAATTAAACTGGGAAAGTATGAACATTATATTTGTCTGTGAAAGAGAAACATAGCTACCTTTACATACTCTGGGGGCCCAGCACTTCATAGGGGTCTCTGAACACCCAAGTTGACAGTTTGTCAGGGGGGCAAAAATTTCTAGCTCGTGTGTCTATCTGCTTTATAGAAAATAGTTTAAGGTGTATTTTCATAGTACTTTTGTTGTTGTTCTCTCTGTGTAAGTGTTTTTCCCCTACAGTTGTAGCTATTGATGTAAAATTGATATTTGATCTTATTTTAAGAGCTGGTCCATCATACAAATCAGTAAATGGTATAACATAAGATAATAACTATTACCAGTATGAAAATAAATGAACTTCAAAGCTGAAAACCTATTAAATTGTAGGATATAAGTAAAATGATCATTCTTATATCCATTGTCAGAATGTCATTCCTTATCGTCTTTCCCAGCATTTAGTGAGGAATCTGAACTCCTCCCACTTGCAGTGTTGTTTACATTATTTTCTTGAACCTCACCAGGCTCTCCCTTCTCATAACCACCCACGTGTGGTATATTAGGTTTTCGCATAGATGTCAGTAAGACATCACCCTGTGGTAAATGTGCAGCGTTAATACAAGTTAATACACTCTGTCTTTAAATGTAATTCAGCTAAGACTGGCTAGTTTAAAGTTGAGCGATGCTTCCAGAAGAGGGAGGCAGAAGCATAGCTTTCACTGTATTTATGTAGAGAAGCTAAACAGTTAAAGGAGGGTACATTTAGTTATGCATCTTGATACATGAATATTGCATGACAAAACAAAAATATACATTCGACTACAAATTAATTTTCTATATACAATTTCAAATAGGTGCCAGGGAGCAAGTCTGTCATAATGATTAAATACAGTAACAGGAAGTGCCGGCGACCACGGGCACAGAGGTCCAATCCACTAAGCCATACCCCACTCCCCACTATATGATCCTACTGCCTGTAGGTTCATAAATATCTAAAACAACAGGCAGTACAAAGCAATAAAAAATAAAAAAAAAGTCTATTGTAATGTTTATATGTTTATGACAGGAAGCAACCAAGATTTTAAGCAGCATTCAATTATATTAGCTAACAGTCAGGTAAAGAAATTAAATAGCTATTGAAAATGGCTGGCTGTTTTTAGATATACAGTGCGGTTTAAATGTCTGAGACCACATTAAAAATCTGGAATTCTTTTCATTTAACCCTAGAAATAAACAAAGCTTTGGCATGGACTAATACATAGCCGCTTGTTGAAGTGGATTAGTGTGATGAAACTAAGTTTGAGACTTATGGCAGTAGCAGAAGGTGGGGCTTGAAATGAGCCTCACCCACTGGCCAGAGATGAGTCATTTAGGTGAAGGGCGAATACAAAAGCCTGAACCCTAACCTGTTAGATAATAAAAAAAAAGGACATGTCGGACTACATTTTTTACTGGACAAGCCCAGTTGGCCAGTAACATAGATTCTTAAGTTCCACCCCTGAGAGGGGTTTATGTAAGGAGACAAACAAAGGATAGGTTGATACCACAGGATAATGACCCTAAATAAGTTGCAAAGCTTTGCAAGAACTAAGAAAAGCAAGAAGCACTGACTGTGATGACCTTTTCACTACAGTCTCTGACATTAAAGCCATTGAACATTCATGGGGCATACAGGAAAGCCGAGCATTTAGTGACATCACAAGATGATCTTTGGAACATTCTCAGATCATACTGGGGTAACATCGATCAACTTTTTACACAACCTGGAGTGTATGCCAACTTGAGTGCACTCAAATCAAAACGGGAACATAGCAAATATTCAAAACATTCTGAAATTCATGTACATTTTCAAAGATTCAACATTTGACTGATATGCTGACAGTGTCATTTGTAATAATCAACTTCATATTAAATTGGAAAAGAATGGAAAACAGAAGCGTTTTGACTAACGGTCTCAGAAAATTTGGCTCTGCTATCATTATTCCAGTGCATTTTACTGTTATGAAAAAGCCCTGCTTGCTGTTGGAGGTTTATGCTACTGTACTTCTCAGCCTTATATATTAACTGTATGTGTTTGTGATGTCTTGGCAGGGCCCCGTCTATGATTAAAGATGCCTGGTCAGGATCATGGGGGAGGGGCTATCCCAGGCAAAATAGAGCACTAAACTGGGATGCCAGTCCATCACAGGGCACACACATACACACTCACACACCGTGGGAAAAGTAGAGATGTCAACCGACTTAAACTGTATATCTTTGGATATTGGGAAGAAAACCATCCAGTGCAGGGAAAATATGCAAAAATCAGAGGCAGGATTTCAATCCCCAACCCTGGAGATGCTACAGCATTACCAACTCAACCACCAGCATGGTGTTCATTTACAGCATATATGTGTGCATGTGATTGGGGGGGACCTGGTCCTGCCCAGACCTGTGAGGAAGCAGGCAGCCCCCCCAGGCTGTGACAGCTTAAGCCGCTCTGAACCCCTGAGGAGACCCGATGTGAGCTGGGCTTTCAATATCGAGCTTATTTTATATAGAGACAATGTGTGCACAGAGGACTGTATATTCATGTTTGTGGTGTTTTCTTGCTGACACACAGACTAATCTGTTTATTACCAGGGATGGGACATGTTCACTCAAGTATCGGATCACTTCCTGGCTAGAGTTATCCTAACCAATGCACGCATCCAGCATTTATAATATTAGCAACCAGCACTGTATCTCCTCTCCGTCTCCTTGTCCGTTCTTCCACTTTCTTCATTCCCATTACTACTGTTTTTTCAAGAGTCAAGGTTTTTATTGTCAAATGTACCAAGTACAAAATGTACTATATACTGAAATACTTCCTTGCATGTCTCTGTGCAGCCTGACACCTAGATGATAACGGAAACAAGTACACAAGATGTAGCAGCAATTAAGACATAAATAAATGCAATGTAAACAGACAAAAATAAATAAAATTGACAGCAGTATTGATGTGTAGCAGCAACAAGATACAATAACAGAAATGATATAAATAAACAGATAGCGGCAGTGGTGATGTGATAATAGAACATGAATCCAAATAAAAGTGATGGCAACGGTATAGACAGATACAACAGCAGTGTGGTAATAAAATGTACATAGGATGGCATGATGAAGAAACATGTGAGTATAAGTACAATGTCAGCAGTGCAGCATGGTGTGATAGTGGCAGTGTCCAGTCTTACTGCAGTGGGGAAGAAACTGTCTCTGAATCTGTGCAAGTGTGGATGGACTTTTGCCGCTTGCCAGAGAGGAAGAGGAGGCAGAGTGTAAGTGCTGACTGCCTGGATTACCCCGTGCTATGGCTTGCTTTCCTGAGCAATGAAGATGTCTTGGACTGCTGGAAGCTGTGTGCCCACAATCCTCTGTGCTGTCTTAACCACCCCCTGCAGCATCTTTCAGTCCTGTGTTGAGCAGCTGCCATACCAGGATGTGATGCATCCTGTGAGGACGGACTCCACAGTGCCCCCGTAGAAGCTGGTCAGGGCTGTGCAAGACATCCTGGCCTTCCTCAATGTCCTGAGGAAGCAGAGGCGTTGCTGAGCCTTCTTGTCCACAGCTGCAATGTGGTGTGACCATTTAAGGTCATGGGTGAGGGTGACCCTGAGGAACCTGAAGCTGTTGACCCGCTCCACAGCATCCTCTCTGATGTAGATGGGACTGTGGAGAGTCACCTGCTTGCAGAAGTCCAAGATCAGCTCCTTGGTATTTGTTGATTTTGAGGGCGAGGCTGTTGTCCCAACACCACCCTTCCAGGTGCCTGACCTGGCTTAAACTGCATATCTTTGGATAGTGGGAAGAAAATCCATCTCATTGTCATTGCAATCAGACTGATGTTGGTGGCGTCCCCTGTCATTCATTCAGCTGAAATCATGTTTTCACCTTCCATTTCGCTATCTAAAATATAACAAATTATTATAGCTACTCTAATTTATTGCATACATTTATGCTTCAATATGCAAGGTTTCCCAGCATAATATTACTATAATGGTGTTACATTGTTACTACCATGACATTATACAGAAAATGGTAGCACATGCTTTCCGACATTTCATGCTTTTCTTTTTCTTTCTTGAAACCCCGACTTAAATTGTCTGGAGAAGGACATAGCTAGATTAGTGGTTAGTTTGGTATTACACATTGTAATGGCCTACCCCGTTACTGAATGCGGGCAGAGCTAAATGCTATGTTTCACTTTAAGGAAATCTTTGATCCTTCTGGACAGATGCTAAAATCATGGTTGCACAGCTTCCATTTTCACCTCCATAAACACAGAACGATAATTTCGTTTTTTTCTTATTACACTGGGGAACACATTTTTTGTTGAGTTAGATCTTACACTTGCTTTTTTTTTTTTTACTAATTTTTGGGTGGTGAATCCAGAAATGACCCCATGTTTTTTGCTATCACATCCAGTTTTTACGATACATGGTACCCTCTATAATTGTCAAAAAACATACAAATTTTACATACAATGAAAAAATAATGTAATAAATTGAATGTACTGTTTATTTAAATTTCTTTTGTTCAGACAAAGGATTTATTGTTACTCTATGACATTTTTTACAGTAAAACATTTGAAAATGAATCAGGTAAGCAGTTAAGGTAAAAATTTACGCCTATAGCTTTTCCTGGAGTGTTCAGTGTTAGGACAATCCCGCCGGATGCTCCAACAATAGTCAGCCATCATATGTACATCCCATCTACCCCGATACCGTCCTTCCATGACCTTCAAATCTTGGTGGAATCGTTCACCTTGCTCATCACTGACTGCACCAAGGTTTTCCGGGAAGTTAGAAAGATGGCTATGCAGAAAATCCACCTTAATGCTCATATTGCAACCAAGCATTTTGTAGCTCTCCAAGAGTTTCTAGACAATTTCTGTGTAATTATTTGCTTGTGTGTTTCCAAGTCCTTGACAATGGCTTTGAATGATAACCAAGCATTCTTTTCAACTTCTGACATTGTCCTGATTAAATGATCATCTTTGATGAGCTGCTGAATCTGTGGACCATCAAACACACCGGCCTTGATTTTTTCAAATGACAGGCGAGGAAATGCCAAAATGAGGTACTTGAAACAGTCTTCTTCAGCTGGCAAAGCTTTAACAAACTGCTTCATCAGACCCAGTTTCATGTGCAGAGGCGGGAATATAATATTCTTTCTATCAACAAGTAGCTCATGTAGAATGTTTGGATCACCTGGTTTTAGGGCAGATCTTGGAGGCCAATTCCTTTCCACCAAATGCCTCTCATGAGTTCTTCTGTCCGACATGCACAGATAACAGGGATATTTGGTGTATTTGCATTGCTGACCAAGAAGGAAGGATACCATTTTAAGGTCAACACAGATGACCCAATTGTGTTGGTGATATAGCAAAAACTCAATGACTCTCTTTATGTCTGCATATTCTTCAAAAAGAGAAACTGAATGGCCAATTGGGACTGACCCAAATATATTGCCATTGTGAAGGACACACTTTAAGCTCAGCTTAGAGCTATCGATGAATAGTCACCATTAAGTTGAGTTATAGATTGGAATTCTCAATTCCTCCATTAAACCAGGTATGTTATGGCAATACACAAATCCACTGTCCTAACATACTGCAGAAATGCAATTTCTATGGTTTGAAAGTATGATCCCTTTGTTGTTTTTTCCAAGTTTTTCTCACGCAGTCTTGGTAATAATAATAATAGATACTTTTATTATTCAGCATGTGGCTCAGTGGGCTAAGCCTGTGTGCCGGTAATCAGGTCACCGATTCAAACTCAGCCTCAGCACGTCTGTGGGTCCTTGAGCAAGGCCCTTAACCCCCTGGGCACCGCTATGGGTGGCTGCCCTTTGCGGACAACTTACTCCATGAAGAGCAAGTTGAGGGAGGCGTAAAGACAATTTCCCCACGGGGATTAATAAAAGTATCTATTATTCTGATGCTAGGAGTTCTGAAGCCTTCTTCGATCATGCCAAATCACTCAACTCATGCTGATCAAATCCCTCAAGTCCTCTTCAATTTCAAACTCTTCATCATTGTTGTCACCTAGTTCATTACCATAATCATGTTCTTCAAGAGAGGGTAGTGTAACGAAGACCGGTGTTCTGACAAAACATCCTACCGTAGTGCTAATCAACAGCCCTAACCCCCCAAAAACCCTTACCTTAACCCTAACCCCTAAAACCTAACCCTAATCCCAAAACGGTGGAACTGCACATGCGCAGAAGGGCTCGATAGCACGTCTCAATAGGTAGGATGTTTTGTCAGAACACCGGCACTGGGATTTCATTTTAATGTGCCACTGGGCGTATAGCCGATGGTAGACTAGGGTGCTCTATGTTACATTTATTTTTCTTGTTTTATCCTTAAGTTTTCACTATACAAAAGTAAGTAACTGAAATGACCTCCTGGCTCTCGCCAAACCATAGGTATACCAAATGGCATCTTATCACGTGTTCTCTTTGTCCACCTCCGTAAACCCTCAACACACTGTTTGCACACCTTACGATTTTAATCACCAAGTTTAACTTTGAAATATGCCAAATAGGCTTGCTCTACAAATGTGCTGATGTTAGCCCTTTGACTGGGAATGATGAAACTGCCACAGATATAACAAAATGAATCAGGGTTGTTTAGGCACTTACGACGAGAAACGGCAGAGCCAGACATGATCTGAAAGAAGGGAAATACGTGTGTAAGTAGAAAAATAGATTTTGCTTATTCACTACGTAGAGCAGCGCACGACCTCTGACCACACTGTCTTGCGTGTAAATGAATAGCCGATACAAATCCACGCTACAGTAATTGCACTAATATAAGCGGTAGAGAAAAAAAACTGACGTGATAGAAGAAAACTAACTGCATTTTCAGAATCAGCATAGTTATTTTAGTGTAAATAAGCTTAAAAAATTGAAGTCAACAAAAATTTATTCAAAATTGCTCCCCAATGACGTGACGTGACAGAATTTCGGTGTCTGCAGTCTGCACCTCGCTGTCTTCTGTTTGTCTTCAGTTCCGGGGTTTGTGTAAAGGACCCGAGCAGGCCCCCTAGGGGCTGCCTATAAGTAGCGCCTGATCAGCGAAGTGCAGCTGCAACTTTAGCGCTATATTGGGAGAAACCATTCGATTCTTTCATTTATAACTAACTCTGATTTTTCCATTTATATTAACAAAATATGCATGTGGGAGGCATGGTACGTATAATTTGTAATTGATTATTGCAAAGTCGAACGTTCTGGGCAGGGTCTTAGGTAAGCCTACTAGGCCTGCAACTTTTTTTGAATAACTGTGGACAAGGCTGCTGTGTTGTGAAGCGTGACATTCTTAATTGTAATTTGTATATTTTGCAAATATCTTAAAGTTCTCTAATATTTTAAATGCATCTGCATCTGGTCTGTACAGAATTTTTATTTTTCTTTTGCCACAGGTAATTCTAAGTAGACATAATCAGGATACATGCTGTTTTCAAGGACAGCATAGGGCACAAAGTAAGGAAACACCACAGAGCACACACGTAATGCTATTGGTTTCTGAAATTTAAGCATATTTTTCATGTCACTTAGTCTGAATGTCTGAAAAATAATAGCAATAATAGCACAATGTAGATTGTGTTAGATGTACTTAAATAAAATATTTTAAGTGAAATACTTATTTTTAAATCAAATGTGTTTTTTTTCTGCACTAAAATTTCTTTCAGATGCGCAGATTGGCGTCCCACCCAGAGTTATTCCCTGCCTTGCCCGTAACGAACCTGAATAGGACAGAAAATATATGATTGGGTGGATGGATTGATCTTTTTAAGATTTAACACCTGACGGAAAAACTCTCAAGCAGCAGGAAGTCATCTTGCTACCTGTATTGCTACAGAATGGTCCCCTCTTCATTGCAACTGTTTTTTAATTTGGAGAATTTAATTTTGAAAATGACCCTATTTAAATGCTTGCAGATTCACAGATTAACTGCATGTCTCAAGAATTATTTAAGGATTATGGTAAAACTTAACTTGTCGAGGCACAAATACTTAGTATTAACGTCTTAGTACTTTAGTACAAATCATGAACAAATGTAGTCGCTACCTGAGATGAAAGATGCGTCACGATTCATTAATGATGAACAAACAGTTCAGAGATCAGTATGTCACTTGTGTTATTCATAATTCCTTTTCACAAGGATTTACAAAATTAACAGATATGGTAACAAATACAGTAACTAATTGGGAGGAAAGATGCATCATGATTTATTTATGATGAACAAACATGAGATCAGTATTTCACTTGTGTTAGTCCACAAAGGTTCACAGAATTAACAGATATAGTAACAAATACATAGTAACTGTCTGGGATAAAACATGCGTAATGGTTCATTAATAACAACTTAACGTGGTCAGTATTTAACTAAGACTTAGTTTTTGGTTAATTAATATATAAGTAATACTATTATTTGTCAAATAAAATGTTACCAATAACCTAACGTCGACTTGAAGGCTGCGATCTGCTGCACGCCCTGCAGGCTGTAAACAGGCTTTCCGTCGGTCGTTCTCAGTCCCTCCCCGTTCTTCCCCGAAGTCCGTAGCACCTCCGCGTCGTTGCGGCGGTCGTGCCTCCTCTCTGTCCATGGTTCGGCTCTGCGACAGAAGGATGAAGCTGGGCTTTGCTGTAGCAGCCATCGTCGGTTCGGCGATGTTCCTGCTTTTCCCCAGCAGGTCAGAAGCCGACGAGAAAAAGAAAGGCCCGAAAGTCACGACGAAGGTAGGACTGCTGGGGGCTCGGCGATGCCATGAGCCGGCTAACTAGAACGGGAGCTTTCTCGACGCTGAATGCAGCCTTAACGCATAATAATAGTAATTCTGTCGTTATGCTGAATGACTGTTAGCGGTTCGCCGGCCGCCGTAATGCTGCTTTCATTGATTTTAGCAACTGATCGCTGTATGGGAACATCGCTAGTCTATGACGGGTACCGTCAGTGTTAATACACGACATTAGGAATGTTTAAATGATGAAAATCATTACAAGATAAAATGCCAGTCAAATGCTGTCTTGCTGCCTGCTAGCGAAGTTCATATGAGAAAAAAAGAAATTCCATACTCCGATGTTACAGTATATCCGGATCCGGATAAATGTGCAAATAACAGAAAAGAGAGAAGTTCTTTCTAATGTATGAGGATCAAGGTACCAACAAGTAATCAAATGTGATATGAGTCTTGGACATTTAATATAATTATTTTCATGTTACTTTTGAATGCATTTCCATTTCTTCTAGGTTTATTTCGATATTAGAATCGGAGATGAGGACACAGGCCGAATTGTTATCGGCTTGTTTGGCAAAACTGTCCCTAAAACAGTTGAAAACTTTGTTGCTTTGTCAACTGGAGAGGTATTCACACAGACCGCGCATGCTGAATTTCCAAAATGTACAATAGTTGTTAAAATAGGGAAATTGGGAAAATAAAACCCGTCCACCAAACAATCAATTTTTCCAACAGAAAGGATTTGGTTACAAAGGCAGCAAGTTCCATCGTGTAATAAAGAACTTCATGATTCAAGGTGGGGATTTCAGTAGAGGAGATGGGACTGGAGGTTGGTATTGAGTCTATTTGTATATGTACCTATATAGTACTTTGCTGTCTTGGGTCTCAAACAGATGCTTAGTCTTTTTAATGACTCAGCTGTTCGATCTTTCTAAAGGAAAGAGCATATTTGGAGGCCGTTTTCCTGACGAAAACTTCAAACTGAAACATTATGGCCCAGGCTGGTTGAGTATGGCCAATGCTGGGAAGGATACAAATGGGTCCCAGTTCTTCATCACCACCATCCAGACGTCTTGGCTCGATGGGAAGCATGTTGTCTTCGGCAAAATCCTGGAAGGCATGGTATGCTCTGATCCGAGTTCGGTTCCTGCATAACACTTAATTGAAAACAGCTGTTTGGGCAGGATGGATTATTTTCACACGTACTGCAACCCATGTTAACTGTTCACTTCTTGCTACAGGATGTTGTGAGAAAAATCGAGGCGACAGAGACAGATGAAAGGGACAGGCCTGTTAAAGACGTGACTATTCATGATTCTGGCAAGATAGAAGTTGAAAAACCATTTGTTGTTGCAAAGGAATAGATTGATATGGAGACATGGGCCTGGCCATTTGGATCCTGGACTTTAGAGGCTTTATAACCAGGAGCCAACTGGTCACGGTCACCATTTGCCAAGGGACCCACGGTTCAGTAAGTGTTCTTCACACCAAGGCTGTTAGTGTTTGGCTCTGCATCGTTTACTGCAGCAGGGGACACTCCCAGAAATGGTCTTTGTACTGAACCAACACCAATAAAGGACTTTTTCTTTGTTTTTCCTTATTTAAGGCATTTAATCACCTGATCTATTCAACAGAATTCTTGACATAGAGTTGAAATGTACCATGCATCTCTACATTTCCCTCAAAGATTCAAATCAGAATGCTGTCTAAGGCATAGTCTCCTTGTCCAAACCATCCTGCACAGACTTCCTTGAGCATATTCCTATTGATAGGACAGGTAAAAGCAGCGATGTCAGCTCTTCAATGCCCTCTTGTGGATAAAAAAAAATCCTACCCACAAATGCCTTAAGATTGGGAAAAGTTACAATACACACTCAGATAATCATTAGATCTTTTTATCTAGAGCACAGCTTTAAAACATTAATTTACATGGTACAGTAGTATCTGTTTAAAGCATATTCATAAAGTATTTGTGCATAGATCAAAGAACAAAATTTTAAGGTGGTTCTCCATAAAAACTGCAATATGGAAAAATTCTTTGAAACCTGACGAAAATGTCAGAGAGAAAAGCTTTATTTTTGAGATATCTTTAAATGATATAGAAATACAGCAACTCTCTATCCTAAAGAGATATGAAGATGCCACAGCACACTAAAGGTCAGAACTACAAAGTAACATTTGTTTCTTCCACTTACCACCCAAAGGCTATAGATTTGAAAGGAGCGACGCCACCTTCCTTAAAACAACTTTATTTTCAACAGTGGCAATTGAAATAGTTTCATATTTTAAAGTCACATTTAACGTCTCACAACATCACTGTGGGATGCTTATAGGTCATACGCGACGTAGCCACAAAACTATGTGAAAACTGAAGCATTGCATTCAAAAATAAGGGTTGGAATGCACAAAAAATGGCTGTTTGCTGGAATAACACAAGAAAAACAGACAACAGAATGGCATCCAAAGATCAATGATAGATCGGCAAACACTTCATCCAAAGACCAATGATAGATCGGCAAACACTTCATCCAAAGATCTGTGCCTTTTTTTAAACCAGCAAACAAAAACAACCTCATGTATCTTCCAATGGTACAAGCAAGCTGCTTAACTACAATAAAAATCACTTAAGATGCCTTTTCTACAATATGAAAGTGAAATGTTCAAAAGTTATACTACACTGAGCTGTAATCTCAAAGCCTCAGGTATGAGTATTGACTACGACTTGTCATGCTAATCTCCCACTCAAACTAGTATCTTAAGGGTATAGGGTGAAGAGGCTGGCAGGGATCAGATTAGCAGCTACAAAAGACATCAGTTCCTTTTACTTACAATTTAAAGGTCATGTCATGGTCATCATATCCTAAAATGAGTAGTGAAATGTTTTCAGTCTTGTCATTTTTAGGTAGTGATACGAATTACAGGGGTTTATTCACATTGTAAAATAAATAACTTTATCCCTACTTGGTATGACAGAAGCAAATACTCATCATACATCATTTGGTGTTTGTTCAAGTTTGCTCATGTCAATGCTAAACCAGTGCATGTTCATTTAGCATGGAACCATAGATTATTTCACTGCCACCTACTTGTAAAATGCAGAATTTCCTGGACCCTGGACAAGAACCTGGCAAATCCCTGCTAATCCATGGAGAGTTCCAGTTTCAGCTGGCAGCGCTCAGCCCACCCTCCCCTTCGGCTGTCTGTTCACTAGGGTTACTGACCATCACCCACCGTACCAGAGCTAGAGGGTACAGCTGTCTGCACATACAGGGACACCGCTAGCTGCACTACCTGTACACCATGCTACCGCAAAAGACCATTAACTTTAAGGAGCAACCAAAGGCAGCCCTGGAATGTCCTAATCCTGTCGTCTTAATGACCTCCCTTCTCATTGGCCAAAGCTCAGACAGACTGCTTAGATGCTTCTGATTCCTCACAGGCCACAGGCCAGCTTAACCAACAGCTAATGAACCAGGGAGTGAAGTGCTCCTGCAGCAGGTATAGCCGGCTTAGGCTGCCCGCTCAGGCCGCCCGCATAGGCTGCTGACACAAGTGATTCTTGCAGCGAAGTGTTGCAAATGCATAACAGTGTTAATAAATAGTCTCCACAGACAATGCTACTTTAACACATGGTGGTTAAAATAAAAATAAAACATATGGTTCACATTTGGACCACCTCCAACCAAAAAAAAAAAAGCAATTTAAAAAAAACAGATGGAAGTTGAATGAAAAAATATATAATCAATATTTTAGAAAAATTGAAGAGCTGGTTGTTGATTATGAAACTTATCACATTGCATTTCTTTTGGTAAAACCCTGGTTCTTTTTATTTGGTTTATAGGCAAGAGGTGACATGTACAAAAAGGCAGCCTCTTTCACTCCAGATCTGCGCTTCCCATCATGCAATTGATTTTGCTTCTGGTAGAAATGCCTCCCAGTATTTCACCACCTAGAATTAGAACAGATCTGTTAATGTCCCTGGCTGATATTTCAGCTACAATAAAAACTGAAATGTAATAAACTATAGTGCTGAGTGTTGCAATAAATTTGATTCCTTAGAAACATTTCAGATTTTGTTACAATAATTTTCACATGGTGGCCAAAAATATATCCATCCAAACTGATTATCCAAGTACAGGGTCACGGGCATTGGGTGCCTGAACCTTTCCCACACAGCGTAGGGTACAGTGCAAGGGGTCAAACGGCCAGGGGTCCAGGTGGGGAAGCAGTGGGGCCACTGCACTACTGTATCACCCCTAACTACTCACTGGAAACCAGAAGCCAGGGCGTTCAAAGAATGAATTCAAAATGATAAATTACAAGAACTTTCTTGGGCATGTGTACCGCTCTCCAGTGAGCATTCAGGTACGACCGACTGCCTTCCCGACGGGCAAGAAGCTGATCTCCACCAGTGTTCAACTTTAATGATTAAAGTAAGGGAACCTTTAAAAACAGTGAACTTTCAACAGATCTTTTCAGTAATTTTTGAAATCGACAGATTAGGTATCTCTTCTGCGACTCTTCTTGAAGATTTCAAATGCTTTAAAATTTGGATTCATGGAAGGTCAAATCTAAGAAGTGAAACACACAGGGTACCCCTGAGACCTGGAGACTGGAGCACCATACTGGAAGGCAGGACCAGGAGAAGACAGGGGCCACCGAGGACGCTGTGGCCTCCTTCTTAAGGAATGGTCACATTTCTTTTTGTTAGCGTGAGTGGTACAATGACACCACAAGCTCTGCACAAATCAGGGCTCTACAGGAGGGTGCCAGTAAGGGATGACCTGCGCTGTGGTTTGACAACAGCACTATTGCTGTGTGGAAAGGGTTTATATAACATGGCGGAGACAGGCTAGTTCTGTGGGGATGTTTCCCTTTCTCAGGCACTGGAGTACTTTTAAGAACAGAAAGGACGATAGAAGGACCAAATACAGACAGATTTGTGAAGAAAGCTTTCTGCCCTGTCAGAAAACCGTAACTGGGAAAATTTTACTTTAAAGCAACAGTATAATGTCTCAAGGACAGGACGAAAAACACCCCAGAGTGGCCCAGTGGCAGCAATTAGCTAAATGCAGTTGAAAACCGCTGGAATAAATGAGGGGGAAATGCAGCAGCTCCTTAAAACCTGACTGACAGCCTTGTGGACAAGCTTCTACAAACTCACGTTTGCCATTTTGGCAGGTAGTTGGCCACGACCTGGCAGTGCAATTCAAGCAAGTGCTACTATCAAATATTTACTCAGCCTTATACAGACAAATCAAACCTGTATTTCATACCACACCTTTTCTTTTAATTTTCAAAAAGGCAGGAATGTTTTTCCCTGTCATGGCAGCCGATGTCTTTAAAATTTCAAAAATGCTCGAATAAACATTCAAAGTGACATTAACTCAGATCTACAGAACTGCCCCAATTTACCTGCTGCTGTGATTGTAGAAGAGACTCCAGGTATTTTATAATATGGGCCTTGTAGTCTCTGGCCTTCTCCCTCTGTGGACAACAAAAGGCAGCCTTTAGAAATTAGCCTTTAGCATTCTATCCAATTTTCATATTGTCCAGTCTGTAAATGACCTATGAATATAACTTGCATACCTCAAACCTGAGTACCTCTTTGCGAACAGTTGCAGAAATCCTCTCAAAGTCTTTCCCGTAGTGGTTCACTCTGGCCTCCCACTTAGCGACACATGGCAAATGAAAGGACATGATTTTGAGCAGCATGAAGTAGTATATACTTGCATACAGTACTGAACTGGGAATCCTATTCATAGAACATTTATGGCATTATGGGGAAGGGGAGAGAGATTCTTAAGGTGAACACGTAAATGAGAAGTTCAGCAACATTTCTCATTGTCCACATTGCTGCATATACTCTGGAAATTCCCGTCCTGTAACTAGCTTAGAGCCTGAGAAGGTGGCTGAAACCCCATGTGCGCTGCGAGGTACCTCAGCGATCTCATCCTTGGCCTGTTGCAACTTGTCCGGTTTGCTGGACCACAGCAGCCTGGCTTCATTCTCCCGCTTCTTCTGCAGAATGTTCTGGCTGTCCTGCCACCGCTGCCAGGCTTTCACACGCTGGTCAAAACAGCCCTGCGGAACGCAGCTTCTTCCTCAGCTCATTATGGCAACTAGCGCACTACACTTCAGTACTGCCACCTAGTGGTGGTGTGGTGGTTAAGGCTATCAGGGTTGCTCCTTAAAAAGTGTCTGGTGCAAGTCTGATGAACTTTCAAGAATGGATCAAGCCATTAAATTCATCTAAATCATCTGGACATTTGAGGAAATTAATCTTTATTTGCAGATATTCATATATGTGAGGTAGTTTGAGGTCCACCGACTCCTTATTAAGCATTATATCTAAATTACGTAACATGAATAGTAAAATGTATGTGGCGTGATTTGCTAGGGGAACAGGTGGGACTTTCTCGTACCCGGACGGCTGCTAACAGGCGGATGTAGTCGGCCAGTAGCTCTGCAAAGGTGTAGAAGTCCCTGGTCGCTTGCTCCTGCTGCAGCTGCTCCATCCTGTCCTCCACCTCCGCAAGCTGGACCAGGGCACGCGACAGGGCTGTGCTGTCCTCCAAGCTGCCCAGCAAGGCCAGGCTCTTGGCGAACACCCCTGTGTTTGCGGATAGCTCTGGTGGAGAAAGACATGAGGCCCGTGGCCACTGCTGACCATCTTCAAGCTAAATGGACTGAGTCAATGTTGCCTCTACCCCACCAATTTCTAACGCTGCACTTGGGGGGCCCCTATCTACCATGTTGATATTGCTCTAACCCACTAACCCCATTCATAAGATGTTTTGCCCAAGTAGGTAGTCAGCTATACTTTTTCAAATTTTTTTTAAGAGGGCGTGCTCATTAGGGTCTGCTTCATAACTCAAATGAACTGATCTATTTAATTGCCCTAATGACTGAGCTGAAGCAAAGACCAATATACACAGTGGGCTTCCAGAAAAAGGACTGGGAAATACTGCTCTAACCCAGTGAAATATCTAATAATACGAGGCGCGGAGAGAGCCATCATTCATCTGAGGAAGTGGGCCACTGTCAATTTTTTTTTTTTAAGAGAGACACTGTATAACTTTTCTGTTCAAAGGCAAATACACTGTTGCCATGTTCCAGAGATTCTGGGTAAATTATTTCTGTGTAAACATACTGTGCGTCAGCATGACCTTCAACATCTATTGTTCCGCGTGAGCGTTGTCTTTGGTAGCCCATGTGATATTTGAGAAGCCACTGCAGTGCAGGCTGTCTTAGGGCTGGGAGTCAACCCTGGCGCTCACTGGATCTGAAGCGGCCCATCATCTGGGCTTACCCTTCCTGTGCATGACCAGCGAGTCCACAGCGGCATGGAGCCTCTTCAGCTGCTGGTCCTCGTTGTCCATCTCCAGGAGCTTCTCCTCAAACCACTGAGGGAGATGAGGTGCGAAGAGAGAGCAGACAGAAACCATCAGCAAGTAGCGCAGTTAAAACAAGGGAGCAAAAACACAGCGATCAGTGGGCTGTGCCCGTAAACGGACGAGCACATACAGCATGTGACTTGTCCTTCTTGACGGTGATCTTGTTGACTGCGTCCGTCGCCCTGTTGATCATCTTCTTGAAGCCAGGCCCACTCAGGGCCTGTGTGCTCACAGCTCTGGGTAACTGACAAACGCATGAACAATGTGAAAGGGACGCTCATAAAACAGACAGCGATGTGCCACGGAAAGTATAGTAACAAAGAAAAGATGAACCGAAAGTGATACAACACCAAATTTAGCAGAAAACTGACAGTACTTAAAGTGCCTGTAAAGGGACATACACTGTATGGACAGAAGTATTGGGATACACCTCTCAATTCAGACCCATTGCCACAGGTGTATAAAATCAAGCACTTAGCCATGCAGTCAGGTTTGCAAACATTTGTGAAATAGTGGGCTGTTCTGAAGAGTCAGTGAATAACTGTGGTACTATCATGGGATGCCAACTGTACGTGGTATCATTGCAAAGTGGAAGTGTTTAGGAGGAATAGAAATTCAGCCACAAATGCGCAAAAATTTTCACAGACACTCCAAAATCTCATGGAAAGCCTTCCCAGAAGAGTGGCAGCTGTTATAGCTGCAAAGGGGGGGGGGGACTCCATATTGACACCTATGGATTTATTATGGGATGTTATAAAATTCCTTGTGGGTGTAATGGCCAGGTGTCCCAGTAATTTTGTCCATATAGTGCATTTCCACACAAGGAAGTTGTCTTGGTGATAAAGTGCACCAGTCAACTGGCCTCCAAACCCAAAGCCAGAAAAATAAAGTGATCCCACCTCATCTTTCTCCAAGAATTCTTGGAGATCAGGATCTTGTAAAATGTATGGATAAGAAACCAACCTCTGGAGATACCTGCAGAAAAAAACCACTAAGAACATAGGAACAATCTTATTGGCAGTATTTAAAAAGTGATATTGTCGGATAAGCCTGTGTTCAGTGCTCAGTGATGTGAAGGCATGCACTGCATACTGAGTCTGTGGTGCGCAGTGCTCAGTGATGTGAAGCCATGTACTGCACAAGGAGTGTCTCTGGTGTGCAGTGCTTAGTGATGTGAACCCATGTACTGCACATGGAGAGTCTGTGGTGTTCAGTACTCAGTGATGTGAACCCATGAACTGCATACTGAGTCTGTGGTGCACAGTGCTCAGTGATGTGAAGCCATGTACTGCACACAAGGAGTGTCTCTGGTGTGCAGTGTTCAGTGATGTGAAGGCATGTACTGCACACGGAGTGTCTGTGGTGTGCAGTGCTCAGTGATGTGAAGGCATGTACTGCACACGGAGTGTCTGTGGTGTGCAGTGCTCAGTGATGTGAAGGCATGTACTGCACACGGAGAGTCTGTGGTGCGCAGTGCCCAGTGATGTGAAGGCCACCATGTGGAGTTCCACCTTTCCAGAGCTGCTCTCCTCCTCTCCACAAACTCGGCCGATGACTGGTCCTCCTTGCCTACTTTTACTTTGGTCATTCCTGTGAAACAACACGGTACCATGAAGTCACGGCTATGTTAGGGTTCGATCTGCACTCCATGGCTAGGTGGTTATGATCAGAAGGAACGGTGCATTCTGTGATGTGAAGGAGCAGCCCATTACCCAGGATGCTTTTCTCCGGAGGTGGGGGAACAATGTAGCCATTCTGTGAGTGTTTCAGAGACAGTTTTTGGTACAGTCCCAGGAAATCACTGAACCTCCTCTTCACCGTAAACATCCTGTTCTTGAAGATTGGCAATGTGGTCTGGGCAAAAACAGCAACAGTAAGAGACAGGCCTTAGATCATCACCATTTAACTGAGTTTTATTGAAAACTGTATTTTCATTAAAGCATAGACCTATTCCCCAAAGAATGACACTAAAGTAGATTAAGACATTTAAAAATCCAAGTCAGCTGGCTTTCATTCGTGTGGTTTCTGCAAGCCGCACCTGTGTGGAGACTCTGTAGGCCATATACGCAGTCATGCCATCACCTACAAACAGAAAATAAGGTCAGTACTGCACCTCGTGTTTGAAATGGAATGAAACAAATTCTAATTTCCATGCAAGTGCAGTGTAGTGGCTGGCAGCAGTAAACAGAACGAGGGGGAAAAATGGCAAGAATGCATTTTAAAATCTTTTGTGTTAGTGTTTTGTGGAAGAACAAAGCCTCTGTGTTATCAACCACAGCCTGGCTTCTCAGCAGTAACATTTCATGTACAGAAGCTCCCTGACTTACCATGGAGTTATTTTCTGATAAATCCATCGTAAGTTGAAAGACATACATGACTTAACATGACCTGACAGACTTGGGCTTTTAGCAGAATGGAATCTGGTTAAACACTAAACTTAACATTGTATGATACGTTGTTAAGCGCTGTGTGAGACGGTTACGCTCGCGATCGCTACAGAGACTGTGCGTCTGGCTGGATGGACACTGCCACTGCTGTGCATCAGTAGAAAGCATCATACAGTATATTGCTGGCCTGGGAACAGATCACAGTTCAAAGGCTGATGAATACCAAATGTGCATCGGCATTGCACCAAGTTTAAATATTGTAAATCGAATCATCATAAAGCGAGGAGCATCTCCACTAAAACAATTAAAACGAATACATATTACAAACAACAGCTTACCGACTTTCTCGGGGTTGGTGACTCCGATATTCAGCTCAAACTTGTCCTCATCTTCCTCCCATTCTAGCTGCATGAAATGGAAAGGGAGCCAAATCGCACATTCGCAGCACGCCTCCAGTTCACACGCACGCGCCACTGCATCAGACACGCTTTCTGAGTCAGGATTCCGGGCCGTACCTCTTCCACGGCCTCACGTCCATTTTTCGATGTGGCGACGGCAGATGCGGGGGGCAGTGAGGTGAAGTTTCTCCTGTTATTCCGGGGGCTGTCCAAGGACACCTCCACAGTAGAGTCTGAAAAGATGAAAAAATTAAGAACTGTGAAAAAATGTGAATGGACACGTAATAAAACAAGTCTATGTGAGAGCAGATTTAAGAAAGACTAATTCTAAGCATAAGTACGGTGATAAAGCAATATCTCTAGTACAAACACTCAACAGATATAAACTGAAATAATGGGGGAATACAATTATTTTTAAATAAACCCCAGCAATCTCAAAGCCATAATGCATTAAAAGTCTAAAAATATTAGGCTAAAGGGCCTAGATAAGTATTATTGTACAATTATGGTGATATAATATTTTATAGTACGTTGACTATAAAACAATATATAACAAGATATAATCTGACAAGAAATAACATACCTGAAAATAAGTCTTCATCCTGATCCGCACTGATACCATTAGACTTGGGTTTAGTGCTGGTGGTCATCAGTGCTCCACTGAATAGATTGTTGTGTGCCAGAGTCCTTGACTTATTCTGTATAGGATTACTCTGCGCAAAAAGAGATCCATTCTGCGTAAGACCTTTTATAAATTAACGATGTCAGTATTACCTAGTGTGAGTAATCGCAGTATCACATCACTGTGACCTAATTCAGCCTGTTTTCGCGGGGGGGGGTGGTCACATGGTACATATACTGCCCAGCTCATATGCAAAGTATGTCTGGTATGCAGGGCCGTAGATGCCAGTTACCTCCCCAGTTAGTGCATTTTCACAAGATTACAGTGTCTCAAAGCGCTTCACATTGTCCAGCACTAAAGCCCCCATTGAGCAAGCCAGAGGTGTCCAAGGCAAGGAAGAACTCTGTAGAAGGAAGAAACCTTGGGAGGGACCAGACACAAAGGGGGAACGCGCGCACACACACACACACACACACAGATATGAATGCACACATGCATGCACACACACACGCATGCATACAGACACACGCACACACACACACAGATATGAATGCACACATGCATGCACACACACACTCCATTCCAGACAGCAAAGTAAAGTAAAGTAACAGTTTACGTATGTTGGCCAGTGTCAGTCAAGATGTTTAGTGTATTAAGCCATAAGCCCAAATCATGCGGAATGACTCATCAAGCATGGCTGGGTAAGCTCCCCCCACTTCAAAAAATCTCTCCCGCACCCCCCCCCCCATGCAGCAGGGCAGACAACAGGCAGCAAGTCTCACATCCTACCAAAGCCAGTTTATGCATAGACCACCAGAAGGCTGGTATAATATGGAGTGACAATGATGTCCTGAGTCATCTCCATTCCCTGCAGTCTCACATGCCCCCTCATCCCAAGAGAACACAGAGTAACCAGGAACATTCCGGATTACCGGAATATGTTAAAATGATGCCTACAACAGAGTTTATGCCTCCAACAAACAGATTTTGGGATTCTGAAAGAGAACAGTGCTCAATTAGTGTAGAAGCACTTAATAGTGAAAGTGATTAATTGTCATTGTTGAAATACCACAGCATACAATGAAATGTGTCCTCTGCATTTAATCCATATGTGACATCATAACATAGCAGAGGGCAGCTAATTCAGCACCTGGGTAGCAGTGCGTGGGGGCACTACTTTGCTCAGGGTACCTTAGTGGTACCTTGTTGGTTGGGGATTCAAACCAGCAACCTTTCAAGCACAAGCAGACTTCCCTAACCATTAAGCCACCACTGCTCACATTTCAAACCCAAGTGGACACAATCCAATTTTCCATCCAACATCTGAAATTTACCATTCTGAAGGTGGAACAGAAAAAAAATACATCTAATAAATTTCAACTGAAATGCATTAAAGACATGAGCATGTAGGAATACAAGCTAAACACAGGTAAAAAACAGAATTTAAGAACAATCCGGAAGCACAGCATACAGCACTCAGGAAACATCAAATGTAACACAGCATTCACAACCTCGCAGACTACAATCCAAAAAGGATGCAGTGCTGTCCAGTGCAGCCTCTCATCCAAGTGACTTTTTTTGTGATACTTTTGACGTTAATAACAAAGCTCCATCCATCCAAGCCTCAATAGCATCTAATGACCCCAGTTTCTCTCTCTCTTTATCTCTGGGGAAACATGGAGAGAACTTTCAGATGATTAATACCTGCAAAGCAGCTGGTCCAGATGGAGCTTCAGGACTCCAGCAGAAAGCTTGCAGTGACCAACTGGTGTATTTATGGAAAAGTTCTCTCTCTATATGTCATTATCAATACCATTATTATGGGCCTGAACAACATCAGTGATGAGATGAGAGGGCCTGCAGGGAGGAAGCTAGACTCCGGAACGTGTCCTCAGCACAGCAAGCTCTCCGTTAATGTCAGCAAGGACAAGGAGCTGCTCATCACTTTGAGGAAACAGGAGGCAGACTGTGCTTCCTTTCACCACTGAGAGGGTCAGCAGCTCTGAGCTCCTCCGAGTCACTATTACAGGTGCAGTAAGGCGGTTCACCAATATCTTCTTCCTCAGCCAGCCGAGGAAGATCCAGTTACCACTAGCCTTCACCGACTGCAGCTGATGCATGATGGAATCCAACCTCACAAGGTTCATGGCACTGTGCTATGGAAACGGCTCAGCATGGGACTGTGAAGACTGTGCGAAGCATCAGCAGCACAAATGTGCCTTCAGGTGAGGCCGTCTTCACCATACGCTGCCTCAGAAAGACTGGCTACATCATGAGGAGTCCTGCTAGCCTGCACACTGCTCCCTCCTGGCACAGGGCGCAGAAACTGAGCATTTTAAGAACATATTCTATATGGAAGCCTAGGACTACTCAACAGCTGCCGATTATGAAAGCAGCATTAAAAACTGCTGGTCAGTTGCACAGCCTACTTGTCACTCATTTTTGTTGTCACTCAAAAACATTTAATTTTGTGATATAAATCTTATATGTTTAGTGTTACGGTCTGCGTTACTTATCCTGTTGTCATTAATGTCTTGTTATTGTTTAATGTACCGTCAACTGACAGTGTACAGAAGGCATGCAAGGGTCTAATTTCACCGACTAAATGTAAGCAATAAAATTCATATAATCTGCTATAGAGATAAACGTGTATCAGAAGATGCTAAAGGATTTTTTAGCAAATTGCAGAATATAACCTAGTAATACTCATTCTAATGTATATAGACAATCATCAATTAGTAGAAGCATTTCAACAAGTAGTGTAAAGGCACGGTCTTAAGAAGGATTCACTGACCCTGGAGGGCTACAAATGTCTGCCGATACCGGCATGATCTGCAAAAGTCGCGGCTCTGTCTGTAAGATATATAGCAATAAAAACTAATTCGCGGAGAAATATCTCATTATACTACACAGTTAGCCGGCAGTCAGTTGACTACCCGTTTGTTTTGTGCCACCTTTAGGCTTCCAAACACCACACCTGCACAGCGCGGTGCGATGAACGCACGATGTCACCTTCCTCCTTCCCAAACCCATAATGAGTCGCCGCGGCGCCTGTCCAGCATCACCGAACCGAAGGTGAATCCCGAACGATCGGGCCCTGCGAGCCGAGCTGGCGGGCTGCCTCCATAACACGCTACAATGCAGGTAACGCCACTTAACCGGGGTAACTCCGCACGTACGCCGCTGCCTTTTTAATGCCATCGGGAGCACAGGAAGGCGTACTGCTTACGGCATAGGTGAAGATGTCCTCTCCTTCATCGCTGTCGTCGCCTGGAGCGCCGGGGTGCTGTCCGTGGTCTGCGGCGCCGGCGGAGGGAGCGAGACCTCGCTGGGAGCTGGCCGCCATCTTTACGCGGAGCGGCCCGGACGGAAACGGCGGGGATTAATAAATGTACCGACATCTGCCGGTGACGCTGGCGCCCGGTGCGTCACATGCACGGTACCGTATTTACATATGAAGGCATAGCCGAGAAACAACAACAAAACAGCAACAACAACAACAACAACAATAATAATAATAATAACAATAATAATAATAATAATGTTTATTATCGTTTAGTCTATATTCTAAATTGCTGCTTTAGCAAACTATATCTCTAATATTTATATACATACAGCTAGAGGGAGTTAAAGTTGTTAAGCATAGTAAGTTGTTAAGCATTCAAGGTCATGGATGAAAAGGTGGTAATCGGAGTCATGGGATGTCACTCAGTTCTGGTGGGAGTTTGACTTGCTCTGCTGTATTAATAAACCAAGAATTTTTCTCTTTATAGTTAAGTGTAATATGGCCCAATCAAATGAGATTTCGGGGGACCTCAGACGAAGAACTGTTTAAGCTCATGAGACTGAGAAGTACTACAAAGGGATAGGACTAAAGATTTTTAAAGACATCCATCAGTCCATGGTCAGACAGGTACACCCAACAGAAATTCAGCACTGTGACTTCTCTCCTTTGCGGTGTCTTTGTTAATTATAAGTACAACTTAATGTAGATCAGGTCATATTTTATGAGTCATTCATACCGAAATCTAATCAATATAATAATGCTAATGTATGTTGATCCTCATTTCTATATAAACATGCGTTCAGAGTAGTAAGCTTCTGTAATTCAACTATAATAGCTTAAATTTGTTAAAATCTTGTCTATCTCTGATTTAAAGGACCCCAGGGTTTTAGCTTGCGCTACACTAACAGAAATACTATTCTATACTCTAACCACATGCTGTGTAAAGAAGTGCTTTCTCCAATCCAGTTAAAAAATTTCTCCCGCTAATTTCCACCTATGGCCACGAGTTCTTGTATTTGAACTAATATCGAAGTAACTATTTGGCTGAACAGCATCCAGACCTGTTAGAATCTTATATACCTGGATCATGTCCCCCCTTAGTCTCCTTTGCTCGAGGCTGAACAGATTCAGCTCAGCTGACCTCTCCTCATAAGACATTCCTCTAAGACCAGGAATCATTCTCGTAGCCCTACGTTGACCCTTTTCTAAGGCAGCAATGTCCTTTTTAAGGTATGGTGACCAAACCTGCACACAATATTCTAGGTGGGATCAAACCAAGGAACTGTATAATCTTAGCATCACCTGCCTCGATTTAAACTCCACACACCAAGAGATGTAACCCAACATCCTACTGACCTTTTTAATTGCTTCCCCACACTGGTGAGAGTGGGACATAGAAGCATTAACATAAACACCAAGGTCTTTCTCGTAATCGGCTACCTTTATTTCAGTGGAATCCATAAAATATCTGTACTTTGTATTTCTGCTCCCTGCATGGATTACCTTACATTTATGTACGTTATTTCCGGCTCGTTGTGCCAGGTATCAGCCCAGTCGCTAATTAAATCAAGATCCCGTTGTAGCCTCTGTGCTGCATGTTCAGTATCTGCTACACCACCCACCTTGGTGTCATCTGCAAATTTAACCAGTTTACTGTACGTATTGGTGTCAATATTGTTAATGTAAGTTATGAATAAAATTGGTTCTAAAATTGAACCCTGCAGTACCCCACTATGAACGCAGGCCCACTGTGACATTGTGCTTCTGATAATTACCTGTTGTTTCCTGTCTGTTAACCAGTTTTTTTCTATCCAAGCAGCTACAGTTCCTAAAATCCCTGCAGCTTTGAGCTTAAGCAAGAGCCGTTTGTGGGGGACAACAACAAAGGCCTTCTGGAAATCTAAGTAGATCACATCATATTTAAAGTAGTGTTAGTTTCTATATTCAGAGTAATGTTCGTTTCTGTATTCAGATTAATGTTAGCTTCTGTATTTAGAGTAGTGTTAGCTTCTTTATTCCGAGTGTTAGCTTCCGTATTCAGAATACTGTTAGCATCTGTATTCAGAGTGATAGCTTCTATATTCATAGTAGTGTTAGCTCCTGTATTCAGAGTGTTAGATTCTGTATTGAGAATCTATGGAGATAGAAGTGTATGGAGAAGATTTTCATAAACATGAAAAATTTCTATGTAATTTATTTGCCTAGAAACAAAACCAGTATGGTAACATTTAAGGCTGAAGTTGAATTTGCAGAATTCATGAATTTAAATAACTTGACTGGGGTTGTTCAGGTGGCAGAAAACAGCAGAGAAGAGCATGACTCTGTTAGGTTCCCTCTTCATTCTATGTTTTATTTATACACACTTACAATTCCCCGGAACTGGTTGGTAGCATTAGCCACATACATGAATCCGTCAGGCTGGCGAATCTCACTGTGCAATAACAGTGAACATTCATAGCTAGTGAAAGTGACAATGCATATGCTGTGCAAAACATTTTCAGTGCGGGGCTCCTGCTAGAAACCACCAAAGGCGAGGCGAATGCTTCCACACTTTTATTGTGCCAATTCACATCATCCTCCAGATTTGTAGGTAAATGCAGCAAGGACAGTAGACAACAATGAGGTAGAGACTTTGGAAACTCTAAAAAGCAGCTGAGGCAAGTGACACAAGCGATGGAAACAGTCTGAGGGGAAAAAAACACCAGGTCTTTGGCACACAGCTTCATAGATGCAAAAACAAGCAGTGAGGGGGTGGGGGTGGGGTGTGGGGTAGGGGGTGAAGGTTAGGGAGGTTAGCTGCATAAGGCCTACTCTGGATCTTTGTTCACTCTAGCGAAGTTAGTGTTCTCTATATTAAACAGGAAAGAAACCGTCATAACCAGGGCTGAGCCCTTGATAATACCTGCCCTTCTGCACAATTACAAAAAGGAAAAATGATTTAAAAACATATTTTACCCCTTTTTGAAGTGCAAATTAAAAGTGCAACAATTTAAAACTGTACAATCTCAAAGATCAACGTCCATTCCCATTTCAGAGGCATAATTTTAACTGGTTTTAAAACTTGATGGTCACTCAGGTGAACTGGCAGCCAACAAAGATTGTTAATATTAACTAACTGGATAAATAATGTAAGCAAATAACTGCTTTAACACTTTTTTTCTTCTTGTGCTGGAGAAAAGACTTGATTAAAAACCTACACCAACAGCTTCAGACAAGTGCGCTGAGGGGTGGGGGTGGGGGGGGGGGTCATTTAAAAGCCACCTCTCCGATTTTCAGCGTCACGACTTAAAACCGCTTGTGTACAAAATTAGTTAAAAACTGCATCACAATGTCTGAAATGCAACCGGTTAAATGAAGCATAACTCATTTTCTCAAAGTAAGAAACTCCAGCTTGCTACCCGGGAAAAACAGGTAGCCAGCTGGGGAAGAAAAAAGAATGCGAAGGCACTAAATGGCCAGAAGGCCACTGAGAAAAGGCAAATGGGTCTGCAGAGGTGTTTACCAACATGCAAGGAATGTGAAACAAAAAAATACACAAACAAAGAAAAAAATCATTAAAAAAATCAAGGAGAAGGTGTTTTTTTTTTTGTCAACACCTTCTGAACCCTGACCTGAATCACCTTTCTCTCTCTGCTTACACCCAGGGCTCTGTGATCTGCATAAGTGGTGGGTTCAGTGAGTCATCCTGACGCCTCGCTGTGCATAGTGCCACCGGGGACAAATAGCAAGTGCAATCATGAACTTCCGACGGCATGCCCCCCCCAGACTCCACGCTATTGCAGCCAGCTTTCTAGTTCTGCTTCCTTTTTTTGAGGGGGGGGGGGGGGGTAGGGTATGTGGGAGGAGCGTTGTGGGTTTCGGGGGAGGGGGGCGCTTGCGAGGTCATGAGTGAGCTGTGACTACTGGGCAGCTGCTTAGCTGGAGTCCTGGTTCTTCTGGTTGCGCATCATAGGCCGGTGGCTGCTCAGGGCGTCCATGGAATGCTGCCAGTGCCAGCAGGAGCGGCAGTAGTACTTGAAGCAAGCCTGAGGAGAACATGGAGCACATTCACCTTGCCAGCATCTGTATAGCCTAAATTGCAGCAGCCATTCCTGACCCATAGGAGGTGCTCAATCCTCGGTCAGATGTACAAAGTCATCGTAATTAACTATTGGTGCATTTCTCTAAGCATGTTTTTTGATGGATTTTAGTGAGCCGACACACTATTTAAACTCATTAGTGTACATTTATGTGAGGGGGGCTAAAGCCCCCCTAAAAAGCCATAGTGACGCCCCTGCCAGATGGCAGGACTTTTTTGGGGTTTCACGCACCTGGTCTCTACAGAAGAAAGGTCCGGGCTGCCGATTGCACACGTGACACATAGAGTCCTCCAGATACGGGTCGATCTGAACCTGATAGAGAACAGCACCAAACTTTGATCCCCTTAAAAAAACTAGTGGCCCATATTGGCCACTTAGATTTTAAATTTTCTCATACCTTCTTGGTAAACTTGGGCGTCTTGATCTCCACGAACGCTGCGCTCACCGCTTTCAAGTAGCTACGCTGGTTGTTGAAGGTCACACGTCCAGACCCTGTCACAATAAATGCCGGCTTTAAATATGACGCGCATTTTAATAAGCAGCGTCACAAACAGCGACCGCTCGGTGAACAGGGGCTGCATTATTTATGACGAGCACAGCACTAGATGGCATCCATATCATGTGTCGTTCAAAAATAAAGCGGCCACGCAGACGTTTCGTAGTGTGCACTTAGAACAAAACCGCAGGAGCTCTGTGTCAGCCTGCATTCATCCACAGATGTTCAGGGTCAAAGATTTCTTACTGGGTTATTTTCCCAGTCTGTCCACTCTGAGCCTGTGCCACACGCTGCCCTTTTCCTCACCCGTCTGCTTTGGACACTGTGAATTCCTCAGGACTGGGTGTAGCACGTATCCAGTTTGGCTGGCCTTATCACTCTGCTCTGCTCGGGCTGTTTCCTCTACATCCTGTTATTTGTAGTAAGGCTATAGGCATCTCATAATGCTTCTCATCAGAAGCTCTTCCAAGGCTGCACCTTTCATGATAAATCTCATAATAAAATTCCTGCTGGTGGAGTTATTGGGATCCAGCCCAAA